GATTTCTAATTTTAGGCTTAAAACCGTGGAATCAACGTGAGCTCCTACCAAAAAAAATTAAATCACAATTAAGTTTTTCACTAAACACTTATGACCATTTTCTGTGTGCAAGATAAGTAAATAAAGAGAACTTAAAATGAGGCTTCTTTTTTCTTTTTGTAAAATTAAATGAGGCTTCTTGCCCAACAATTAAAAAAGATCGTCGGTGCATAAGAAAATTAAGAATTTAGGGAAGAGTTCTTGCTATGTCGATGCTGCTTGGCATGAGGTTTCTCGATGTTGTGGTATAGAAATTCTTTTCCATTTCAATGCGGATACAACCGAATTAGAGCTCTCTGCTCAGCGCCTTCACGTCTCCTCAGCCCTCGCAGGTGAGGCTTGGGCAGTTCGTGAGGCCCTGCGTCAGGCGATTGACTATGGGATTGAGGATATCATGATTCTATCAGACTGCATAACACTAGTCAATCTCCTCAATTCGCAAGAGACCCACACCACGATTCACGTCATTGTAAACGATATTCGTCTTTTGATGATATCTATTCCTTCGATTTCTTTTCGATTTACCCTTCGATCTGCTAGTTGCGAAACAAGCTTTGTTGAACTCTACTTGATTTTAATAAACAATTTCGACCAAAAAAAAAAAAAAAGAATTTAGGGAAGATGTTTTGTTCGTTATTAAAATTGCTTTTGGGATATGTTACATATGTAGTACATGATCAAGACTCCCCAATTTATACATAAACACACACACACTCTTCAAACACATACCTTTTTTTTTGAAAAAAACACCACATGCATAATGTGTATCATTAAATAATGATGCAAGTACTTATTCTTGTATTTGAATCTCTTCCATAGCTTTTGTTAATTGGGTCCAATAACTCTCCCTTTACCTCTGTGAATGGATCATGTCTCACTAATTTTGACTTGAAACTGCATGCAGCAAAGCATGGTAAGGCAAAAACTAGTGTGACCTTCTTCTTCTTCTTTTTTTTTTGACATAATTTAAAGAGTCACATTACTAATTTTTATCTAATTAAATTTTAACGTATTCTCCAGTCTAACCTACCAGCATACTAGAAAACCAATTCCAACTTACAACTATGAACCATCTAGATTAATACAGCTAGTTGAGGCAGACCTCGGTCATAAAGATTGTTTTTATAGGTACGTGCCAGTGGAGCAGTCGAACAAAAATCTAACTCAAATTAAAAAAAAATTAGTATATATAAGTTGGAACCTGTATTTTGTTTTTTTAACTAGATATATGTTTGGTAAAAAATTTAACAGAATCTACCAATAATTTAAACAGGTCCAACTAATCCGGAAGACGCACAAAACGACTCCAATATAAAATGCAAAGACTAGATTATTTAAGTGGGATCTTAGTCGTGAACTCATATTTGAAATATAGAAATACAAATAGTGAGAAGAAATGCGGCAGCTGGTAAGTGCTTACACAATTATATTGTTATGTGTTAATGGAACAACTTTTTTTTTTTTTTGGTCACAATGTTAATGGTACA